GTCACTCGCTGACGCGCAGGAGTGAATTGGTGGACACCTGCATCCTGTAGGTCAGCACCACTCACCAGGTTCGTCGAGAACGAGGGGAGGTAAAGACCAGACAGGATGCCAGAGGGAGCCGCTGGACACGGGAGGACTGTGGAGAAGCGAGACAGTACAGGACCCCTGGAGGGGTCAGCCAGAGACACCGCAACCGGCCGACTGAGCGGCGTGAGTGTGGTGCGGTCCCGAAAGAAGGAGCGAGACGCCTTAGAGTCAAGGGTGAAGGTGAGGGAGGCCGAAGCCGACGTAGTACCTGAGAGCGCAGACTCACCAGTACCTGAGGACGCAGACACACTAGCACCTAGAGCAGCAGCGTCGCAAGCACCTAGGGCAGCAGCCGCACCAGTACCTAGAGCAGCAGTCTCAATGCCCGGATCGGGCGGCAAACAGCGGTAACAGTCACCCTCATCACTAATAGACACAGCATACATGGCAGAGAGAATAGCATCAAAGTCAAGATCAAAGATGGCAACACCCGCCCTAGACAGCTCGCCCCAGCGAAGGATCTCTGAGGCCTCCGGGAACTCGTGACGCCACGCGTCCGTCAGGCGGCCAAAGTAGCGCTGGGTGGGGTGCGCGCCCCCACACTGCTCACCCGCACGGTCGCCGTTGCGCAGGACGTAGGTGCACTGACCAAAACCCCCACCCCGCTGGCGTGTAGTGTACCACTCACGGAGTTGTTGAGGGGACAGGGTCTCACGACCGCGCTGCTGCTGCTGGCGCGAGCCACCACCAGAGCCACTCCTCTGCGAAGACCCGCGACCAGCTCCACCGCCACCCCCACCGCCTCCGCCGCCTCCGCCGCCTCCGCTGCTGCCGCCGCCTCCGCCGCCGCCTCCACCGCCGCCTCCTCTGCCACCTCCGCTCCCACCGCCACCGCCGCCGCCGCCTCCGCCTCCACTGCCGCCACCGACCCCCCCACCCCCACCTCCACTCCCACCGCCACCCCCACTCCCCCCACCGCCTCCACCTCCACCTCCACCGCCCGCTCCTCTAGCGTCCTTGCCCCCCTTGCCCTTGCCAGGGCGGCGTCTCCCGCTAGGGGCAGACGCCGCACCGACCGACTCAAGACCAAGGAGGTCGACCGCAGCAGCAGAGGCAACAGAGGGCAGCACGGGGGGGGGAGAACACTCTTCAAAGATGGGGGTGCGCGGGTCACCTCGAGAGGCTCCTACAGCGACTATACTCTTCTCCGCTGCTAAGAGGGCCTTCTCGAGGAGGTCGACAGTGAGTGTGGTGGGACAGACTGAGAGAAAGTGGTCCCTGAGTACTCGAAGAGAGTCAGGAAGGCGAGTGACTAGGAAGTACAGAGTGATGTACAAGGGGGGGGGTTCTTGGCGCAGAAGTCAGCAGGAAGCGCAGCGCGGTAGCGAGTGTCACTAGTGCGGAGGTGCGTAATGAGGTCAGTCACGGTGGGAAAGGCAGCAAGGTCAGGGAAGAGGTACGGTAGCATGAGACGGCTCAGTGCAGCAGTGGCAGGGGAGGAATAGCGCGCGACTACAGCGTCGTACAAGGTCTGAGCACTCTTGTACGGACTAAAGTGCGCACGCTCGGAGGTAGGGAGGTGGCGACGCAGAGCAAAACGTGCAGCAGCGTCGCGCGTAGCCCACTGGGAGCGAACAGTGGCGTCAGCATTAGCAACAGGGGCAGGGGAAGCGCCAGAGGTAAGGTCAAAGAGAGAGAGGCCGTCTGCCCTATCGCACTGTAAGAACAGCTGCAGGTCGTCTACCCAGACCTCAAAGTCAATGGCCCTACCCTCAGCGTCAAAAGTGAGGACACTGGGGGTAGCCATGACGACAGACACCTAGCAGTGCAAACAGTAGGGTGAGGGCACGCATTGACAGAGGGGCTGTGCTCATCGGACAAGGCTGCTCGGGCGGCTCGGCTGTAGGGCGGCTCGGCGGCTCTGCGGCTCGGCTGCTGGGGCGGCTCGGCGGCTCGGCGGCTCGGCTGCTGTGTGGTTCGGCTGCACGGCGGCTCGACTGATGGGCGGCCGGGCGGCTCGGCTGCAGTGCGACTCGGCAGCAAGGCGGCTCGGCTCCTCTTCTGCTGGGCGGCTCGGTAGTGCCGCTGTAGGGCGGCGCGGCAGGAGCAGGAAGCGGTTGGGCCGCTGCGATAGGACGGCGGGGCCGCAGGAGTAGGGCGGCGGGGCCGCGACGTAGGGCGGCGGGGCCGCGATGTAGGGCGGCGGGGCCGCAGGGGTAGGGTGGCGGGGCCGCTGATGTAGGGCGGCGGGGCCGCGTGAGTAGGGCGGCGGGGCCGCAAGGGTAGGGCGGTGGGGCCGCGTGATTAGGGCGGCGGGGCCGCGTGAGTAGGGCGGTGGGGCCGCGACATAGGGCGGCGGGGCCGCGACGTAGGGCGGCGGGGCCGCGACGTAGGGCAGCGGAGCCGCCGGGGTAGGGCGGCGGGGCCGCTGATGTAGGGCGGCGGGGCCGCGTGAGTAGGGCGGCGGGGCCGCGGGAGCAAGGCGGCGGGGCCGCCGAGAAAGGCGGCGGGGCCGCCGAGAAAGGCGGCGGGGCCGCGACGTAGGGCGGCGGGGCCGCAGGAGTAGGGCGGCGGGGCCGCGACGTAGGGCGGTGGGGCCGCGACGTAGGGCGGTGGGGCCGCAGGAGCAAGGCGGCGGGGCCGCGACGTAGGGCGGCGGGGCCGCAGGAGTAGGGCGGCGGGGCCGCGACGTAGGGCGGCGGGGCCGCAGGAGAGGGAGGGCCGCTAGGGCGTAGTGGCCACTAAGGCGGCTCGACGAGGTGAAAGCCCAAGGCGCGACTCGGTTGGGGGAGCGCGCTTCGGGCAAAAAAAAAAAATACGGTAGAATTCGGTATGTGCATGCAGAATGTAGGGCTAACCTCAGCACAGAACAAGCAGAGCCAGGCTGCAGTGATGCATCCCATCCCAAGTGGCTTCTGAATCAACTCAAACCAACACAAGCGGGACACTCACGCAAGCAGAACACACTCCCTATTTGAAACCCTAACACCTGCCTAGTTTTCTTTTTGAACAAACAGGAGTGCAGTGCAGCCCAAATACCGGTATGAAGAAGTGCATCCATCTTTCTTGTGAACTTTCATCCAACCAGAAGTGAGCAAGCCTTGGCTTCCATCCCCACACCCATCCCTCGCCACACCCATCCCCACATCCACACCCCCTCCACAAGCAGATTCGAAATACGTGCCGCCTTAGAATAGAACCTGCCCCGCCATTTAGAACCCGCCCCACCATTTAGAACCTGCCGCATCATTTTCCTGGAAGCCATGAGACACCTCAAAGCTCCTCCCTACACAAGCAGATTCTAAGTTCCCTTCACCTCCTGAACTCTCTGCCCTGCCCCTTTCCCTCACCACCACCCTTTTGGCATCTGTGGTTTGGGATGGAAAGGAGGCTCCTAACTGCTCCTCCCCTCTTCCCTGCTTCCTGGAACTGCTTCCTCCCCACTGGACAACCTACACCCCCTCCCCTCCCTTCACCACCACCCTTTTGGCAGCCATGGATTGGGATGGAAAGGAAGCTCCTAGCTGCTCCTCCCCTCTCCTCCCAGCTCTCCCACCCCCACCATGCACTCCCCCTCGCGCCTCCTCCCTCTGCTTGAAACTGTTTTCTACCTACTGGAAACCTACATTTTTGTGTTTTGGTTTCCGTAAAAACCACAGCGGTTGCTGCTGCTGCTGCTGCTGCTGCTGCTGCTGTTGCCCATGCCACCACATCGGGTCGACTCACACGTACGCACGCCGAAACACATAAAGCTCCCGGAAAGTGCACCACTGAGACTCGCGCCACGCAGATTGAAACCATTTCAACACACATCACTTTCGCATCCCTCCTCTCCCCTAACGCACTAGCATAAGACACCCCCAACACGCACCCCACACAGACAAAGGACCCACTGTATCCGGAATTTTGGAGCAGCACCGCAGCAGTTGCTGCAGCTGCACTTCCTACAACTCCTGCCCTTCCCACAACCCCTGCCCTCGCCACAACCCCTGCCCTCGCCACAACCCCTGCCCTCGCCACAACCCCTGCCCTCGCCACAACCCCTGCCCTCGCCAGTACGCCTGCCCTTGCCAGTACGCCTGCCCTTGCCAGTACGCCTGCCCTTGCCAGTACGCCTGCCCTTGCCAGTTCTGGTGCTTGTACAGGTTGAACAGGATTACGCTGCCAGCAATCCCAAGTTTCCTGACGCACCTGAAAGCTACCTTCTGTGGAACCCAAGGCAACTGAAGCTATCTGAGGCACCTGAAGCTACCTGAGGCACCTGAAGCCACCTGAGGCACCTGAAGCCACCAGAGGCACCTGAAGCTACCTCCCGAGGCACCTGAAGCCACCTGAGGCACCTGAAGCCACCTGAGGCACCTGAAGCCACCTGAGGCACCTGAAGCCACCTGAGGCACCTGAAGCTACCTGAGGCACCTGAAGCTGCCTGAGGCACCTGAAGCTACCTGAGGCACCTGAAGCTGCCTGAGGCACCTGAAGCTACCTGAGGCACCTGAAGCTGCCTGAGGCACCTGAAGCTACCTGAGGCACCTGAAGCTGCCTGAGGCACCTGAAGCTACCTGAGGCACCTGAAGCTGCCTGAGGCACCTGAAGCTACCTGAGGCACCTGAAGCTGCCTGAGGCACCTGAAGCTACCTGAGGCACCTGAAGCTGCCTGAGGCACCTGAAGCTACCTGAGGCACCTGAAGCTGCCTGAGGCACCTGAAGCTACCTGAGGCACCTGAAGCTGCCTGAGGCACCTGAAGCTACCTGAGGCACCTGAAGCTGCCTGAGGCACCTGAAGCTACCTGAGGCACCTGAAGCTGCCTGAGGCACCTGAAGCTACCTGAGGCACCTGAAGCTGCCTGAGGCACCTGAAGCTACCTGAGGCACCTGAAGCTGCCTGAGGCACCTGAAGCTACCTGAGGCACCTGAAGCTGCCTGAGGCACCTGAAGCTACCTGAGGCACCTGAAGCTGCCTGAGGCACCTGAAGCTACCTGAGGCCAGCACTCAGAGAGTCTGTCCCAGCAGCACCTGAAGCCCCCTCCACTGCTGCTGCTGCTGCTGCTGCTGCTGCTTCCGCTGTTGAGACACCACTGCCCCCCAGTCCGTCAAACCCTCCCCCAGTCCCACCCTCCCCCCGCCTGCTGCTGCTGCCTCCCCCACGGCTATCCTCCACAGGTGCTGCTTTAGACCCCACAGATGCCACTGCCTCGGATACCCCCTCTGCTGTTCGCGTGCACCCCCCTCCTCCTCCCCCTCCTCCTCCTGCTCCTCCAGCTCCTGCTCCTGCTGGTGATTTTTCTCGTTTTCCCACCACCCCTTCCTCTCCTTGCTTCTTCTTGCTTGTCCTCCCTCCTCCTCTGCTTTGACTTCCCTCACCCCCACTCGCACCCACGCCTCCCTGCCCCACACCACCATCAGCAGCCAGTGTAGCAACCGCAGCACCAGCACCAGCACCAGCACCAGCACCAACACCAGCACCAGCACCAGCACCAGCACCAGCACCAGCACCAGCACCAGCACCAGCCGCAGTAGCACCACCAGCACCCGAGAGAGCACCAACAGCATCAGCAAAACCATCCGTGTCACTCCCACCGCTCCCACCAACACCGGCAATACCAGTGGCAGCAGTACCAGCACCATCAGCTGAACCCCCACCAGCAGCAACACCAGCATCAGCAGCAGCACCACCAGAACCTCCACTACCCCCACTGCCATCCCCAGCAACAGCAACACGCATACTCCTAGGCTCAGCAACACACGCCGCACCAGCAGCAGCACCAGCAGCAGCACCAGCAGCAGCACCAGCAGCAGCAGCACCAGCAGCAGCACCAGCAGCAGCACCAGCAGCAGCAGCAGGCGTAGAGTGCTCGCGGCAGTGGCGGCGCCACAGAGAGCGATACGTGGTTTCCAAGTCTCGGGTGAAAGCAGGGCCGTCACAGAGGCGTGATGCGAGCATGCGCGGACGCATGGAGGCTCGGAGCGACGCCAGCTGCGGGATGTCCGAGGCTAGCTGCGTTGCTATGGCCACGTACTCGTCCTCGTTCCGAGCCACCAGGTTCGGCAGGCCTGGAGGAGGTGGGGAGGTGTGGGGGTGGGTTTGAGGAAGGGAGATACGGGGTTGGGTGAGTAGGCATGATAACGATTAGTTGGCTTCTGCTGCATACTCGTCCTCTTTCCGAGCCACCAGATTCGGCAGGCCTTGAGGAAGGGGGGATGGGGAAGACTTTTAAGACGTTTCAAAAAGGGGGAAGGGGAACTGGGGAGAGCGAAAGGGTGGGCGAAGTGGAGGTGGTAACACTCTGTGTTTATTAAAAGAATGGCAGGGGAAGCGGCAGGGGGCGTGGCAAGGGGAGGAGGAGGAGAAGAAAGAGCACTGCTTTTGTACCTGTCTCCCCGACCAAATCCACTTACTGGTTTTTGAGAATGGTTTTTGAAAATGGTTTTTGAGAAATCCAAAAAAACCAGGAGGAGGAGAAGGAAGAGCGCCTGTGCTTGTACCTGTCTCGCCCCGACCAAATCCACTCACCCATGTTTGTCAGCGGCGAGATGCCGGCGTTACTGCACGCTGCCGCAGACACAGCGCACACCGATGAAGAGCGACTCACACCACACCACATGCCAATTCAACCGCTCTCAACACTTCCGGATTCGCACTCTCCCAGCCATGGTGACGCACGGCACACCGATGAAGAGCGACCCAACCCCCGTGTCTATCCACCGCAGACAACCTAACCGCACTCAACCCCCCATATTCCCAACCAACAAATACAGCGTGCGAGTCCTTGTTCCCGCTTAGGGGAACGAGTCGAGCAAGGTGGTGCCGGCATAGGGGAACGAGTCGAGCAAGGTGGTGCCGGCATAGGGGAACGAGTCGAGCAAGGTGGTGCCGGCATAGGGGAACGAGTCGAGCAAGGTGGTGCCGGCATAGGGGAACGAGTCGAGCAACCAGCAAATACTCACTCACCCATGTTTGTAAGCAGCGACACACCAACGTTGTTCGCATGCACTCTCCCAGCCATGGTAGCGCACGGCACGCCCATGAACAACGACTCGCACGTGGTGGTGACGCCGGCATAGGGGAACGGCAAGGCAAGGAGAACCCACTCACCCATATTCGTGAGCAGCGACACGCCTACGTTATTGGCATGCACTCGGCCAGCCATGGTGACACACGGCACGCCCATGAAGAGAGACTCGCATGTGGTGGTGGTGCCGGCATAGGGGAACGAGTCGAGGCTGATATCCATCACGGCATAGCTCTGCATGTGCTCGTGATTCAGCAGCACGAGCGGCAGCAAGTCGACGCGCAGAGGGGAGATGCCGTGGGACTCGAGTTGCGCCATGAGCTGCTGGCTGATGGACACGCATGTGAATGGCTTGCACTTGAGCATCAGGCGGGAACCAGGGACTGCTAGGAGGATTCGGGCCCACAGACGCACCACTGCTGGGGTGATCTGTGGGAGCGGGAGAGGAGGGGTGGGCCGGGAAGGAAGGAGAGGGGGGAGGGAGGAAGTGAGAGAAGGAGAGTGAGAAGGGACGGCGGAACCAACACCAGCAGCACCAGTAGCAGCAGCAGCAGCAGCAGCGCCAGCGGCAGCACGAGCGGCAGCAGGTGGACGCGCAGAGGGGAGATGCCGTGGGACTCAAGCTGAGCCATGAGCTGCTGGCTGATGGACTGCTGGGAGAATGCGTGCGTGCCCATAGACGGACGACTACTGGTGTGATCTGTGATTGTAAGGATGGGGGGGATGCGCGGATGGGGGGAATGGGGGCAATGGCATGTGAAGGGCTTGCACTTGAGCATGAGGCACGACCCGGGGAGGGACTGCGAGGAGGATTCGCGCCCATAGACAGACCACTGCTGGGGTGATCTGTGGGAGTGAGAAGGAGCGAGGAGGGAGGGAGTGAGAAAACGGGAGTGAGAAGCGACAGCAACACCAACACCACCAGGAGCAGCAGCAGCAGCAAGAGCGGCAGCAGGTGGACTGGGAGGGGGGAGACGCGGTGGACTGGGAGGGGGGAGACGCGGTGGACTGGGAGGGGGGAGACGCGGTGGACTGGGAGGGGGGAGACGCGGTGGACTGGGAGGGGGGAGACGCGGTGGACTGGGAGGGGGGAGACGCGGTGGACTGGGAGGGGGGAGACGCGGTGGACTGGGAGGGGGGAGACGCGGTGGACTGGGAGGGGGGAGACGCGGTGGACTGGGAGGGGGGAGACGCGGTGGACTGGGAGGGGGGAGACGCGGTGGACTGGGAGGGGGGAGACGCGGTGGACTGGGAGGGGGGAGACGCGGTGGACTGGGAGGGGGGAGACGCGGTGGACTGGGAGGGGGGAGACGCGGTGGACTGGGAGGGGGGAGACGCGGTGGACTGGGAGGGGGGAGACGCGGTGGACTGGGAGGGGGGAGACGCGGTGGACTGGGAGGGGGGAGACGCGGTGGACTGGGAGGGGGGAGACGCGGTGGACTGGGAGGGGGGAGACGCGGTGGACTGGGAGGGGGGAGACGCGGTGGACTGGGAGGGGGGAGACGCGGTGGACTGGGAGGGGGGAGACGCGGTGGGACTCGAGGTGGGACATGAGCTGCTAACTGATGCACGCGAGCCGGGGACTTCCAGGAGGATTCGCGCCCATAGACGGACGCCCGCTGGGGTGATCTGTGGGAGTGGGAGAGGAAGGCAGTTTGTGGGAGGAGCGGGTGGAAGGAGGGGGTGCGCGAGAAAAGGAGGGTGAGGAGAGTCGCTGCTGTCGTTGGTGGCGGAAGCAGTAGCAGCAGCAGCACGAGCGGTGACAGGTTCGCCCACAACAGTGCGAACACCACAGACACACACACACACACACAGCACGACACTGCACACCACTGCACTGTAGTGCACTGCACCGCACCGCACTGCACTGCCCTGCCCTGCACTGCACCGCACTGCACTGCCCTGCACTGCACCGCTGCACTTCGTTGTACCTTGGCAAGGTTGTTGAAGCTGCCAAACGTCACAAAGCCATTGGCCACCGCAGGCGAGGGGGACACCGGCCCCGCTTCAGATGATGGGGTGTAGCAGAGGAAGCATCCTGGAAGGCGCACCAACTCCTCTACATGCCTGTGAGTGGAAAAGGGGAGGAGGGGGAGAGGATGGGAGAGGGGGAGAGGGGGAGAGAGAGGGGAGAGGGGGAGAGGGGGAGAGGGGGGGAGAGGGGGAGAGGGGGAGAGGGGGAGAGAGAGGGGAGAGGGGGAGAGGGGGAGAGGGGGAGAGGGGGGAGATGGGGAGAGGGGGGAGGGATGTAGGGAAAGAAGAAAACGGGGAGAGGTAAGGGAGGGCCATAGGGGTGATGAGAATGTGAGGCAGAGGAAGCATCTCAAAAGGGGCAACAACTCCTGCACGGTCTGTGGGCAACAAACGAAGGCTGGCCAGGGGTGGGAGGGGTGCCTTGGTCTTGGGGGTGAATGCCCATCCAGGCTTCCCGAGCCAGGGAAGCCTTTGTTGTATGATGCTGGAATGGGGGAAGCGGGGGGTTGGTTCCTTTCCTACCGCTGGGTGCTGGAGGGGGGAGGAATCCGCAAGGGAATCAGTGAATGGGAAGCGGTAGCCAACGGCTCTCAGCCTGGTGGTGTTGGTTGGGGTGGGTTAACCAATCCGATCCACGTGGCCTGGATGGGGAGAGCGGATTCCTACCTCTGGGTGCTGCTGGGAGAGGGAAGTGGACCCAACCCAAGACCCCTACCTCTGGGTGCTGCTGGGGGGATTAGCCAATGCATCAGTCGGCCGGTAGTCAATCGATCTTAGCTTCGTGGTGTTGGGATACCCGACTGATCCATGTGGCCTGGATGGGTGGTGAGCGGGAGAGTGCGGGTCTTAACCCTACCTCTGGGAGCTGCTACGAGGGTCGGCGAGGCCGTCAGTCAGCCGGTAGTCAATAGCCCGCAGCCCGGTGGTGGTGTTGGGATATCCGACTGATCCACGTGGCCTGGATGGTGCTAGTAGGGAGAAGAAGGACTCTACCTCTGGCTGCTGCTGGGGGGATCAGCCAAGGCGTCAGTCAGGCGGTAGTCAATCGCTCGCAGCCCGGTGGTATTCGGATACCCAATCCACGTGGCCTGGATGGGCGCTGCCTTGCATGCCATCACGCCCAGCCGGTTGTTGGCCGTGTGCCCTGTCAGCTCCACGAGAATGTCCACGCCGTCCTCCCGCACCATGGCTGCCACGCGGCGCTCGTCCACCCCGAATATGTCCCGCCACACCCCGCCCTTGCTCTGCACTGCTTCCTTGAACCGACTCGTCTTGCCGTCCGCCTGACAGCAAGGAAGGGAAGGGGAGGAGAAGGGAAGCGGAGGAGGCGGGGGGGAGGGGAAGGAGGCGGGGGGGAGGGGAAGGAGGTGGGGGGGAGGGGAAGGAGGTGGGGGGGAGGGGAAGGAGGCGGGGGGGAGGGGAAGGAGGCGGGGGGGAGGGGAAGGAGGTGGGGGGGAGGGGAAGGAGGTGGGGAGGAGGGGAAGGAAGCAGAGAAGAAAGGGCAGGGAGGCGTGTGAGTGAGGCGGTGTGTGCCCCTGTGAGCTCCACGAGAATACCTACTCCATCTTCCCGCACCATGGCTGCCACCCGCCGCTCGTCCACCCCGAATATGCCCCGCCACACGCCACTTTGACCACATTCGGGTCGTGGTAAGTCAAGGGCGCCTCAATGAAGTAGGAGACGGAGTGGGTGAAGTAGTCGGGCGATATGTACCCCACCACCAGCCTGCGATCCCGTTCATCCCATTAAGCCCAGCCCACTGACTCGCGTTGACTCACTCACCTTCACCACAGCAGAGTAAACCACCACTTTGACCACATTCGGGTCATGGTAAGTCAAGGGGGCTTCAATGAAGTAGGAGACGGAGTGCGTGAAGTAGTCAGGCGATATGTACCCCACCACCAACCTCCGGTCCGGCCGGCACAAGTTGGGCCACGAGGAGAAGCGCGGGAAGAGGCGCGAGAAGCGCTCGCCCCAGTCCCTGGAATAAGTCACAGGAGGGGTGAAGAGGAAGGAGAGGGACAAGTTTCAGGTTCAAAGGAGAACAGAGCTCGCCGGGCACGAGTTGGGCCACGAGGAGAATCGGGGAAAGAGGCGTGAGAAGCGCTCGCCCCAGTCCCTGGGATGACGGTGCTTTTGCGACGTCTCAAAAACACCCTCCCTACACATGAGAAGTGCTCGCCCCAGTCCCAGGGATGATGGCGGTTGGGGAGGAGGTGGGGGGAGGAAAGGGATGGGCTCGACTCGAGGTGGGGGAAAGTAAGGGTTTGGGTGGGGCATGACAGAGGTGTGAAGAGAGAACAGTGGGTGGGGGAAGAGAGAACCGTGGGTGGGGGAAGACGCGGAGGGTGGGGGGGAAGGAAGGAGGATGGGAGGAAGGTAGGATGGCATCACATACATAGAAAACGGTGAAGAGAGCACGAAGCCATGAGCAATCCGTTTCCCCCTCCCTCCTCTCCCCTCCCTCCTCTCCCCTCCCTCCTCTCCCCGTCCCTCCTCTCCCCCTTCCTCCCTCCCTCCCTCCATCGACCTCTCGACTGTCAACCTCTCAACCGCTAACAACCGCTCCTTACCGGTGAGCAGCGAACAGTGAGTCGTCCAGCCCATCGTGAATATAGTTCATTGCTAGTAGACGGTTCTGATGTAGAAGGGGGAGGGGGAGCAAAAGGAAAAGGGTAGGGGGGAGAGGGGGAGCAAAAGGAAAAGGGTAAGTGGGGTGAGGGGGGAACGAATGGCGACAACAGCAACACAGGGGAGGAAACAGTGAGTCATCCAGCCCATCGTGAATATAGTTCATTGCCAGTAGACACTTCTGGTGAGGGAAAGAAAGAGGGGGGGAGGGGAGAGGGAGGAGTGGGGACAGCAGCAACTAAGGGAAGCAGAAGAAATCTGGATAAGGGTGAAGGGTACAAACGGCAGCAGCAACAAAGATAAGGGCTCCAGAAACGGCAGGCAGTGCAGCACTGCTAAGCGAGCAGAAGGCCTGGCACACCTAAGTTGGTAACTGTGAGTTTTTTCCACAGAATTCGAAAATATATCTCACCTGGCCGGCATTTCCAGAGTCGGGATCAATGGCTAGGCACTGCTGGTACGCCTCTATGGCTGCAGCAACAAAGGAGGAGCACGGAACCACCTTCTTCTGGGCAGCACAGCACAGCCGAGTAAGCAGGGACATGGCCCGTAAGACATTGACACTCACCTGCCCGGCATTTCTAGAGTCGGGATCGATGGCAAGGCACTGCTGGTACGCCTCTATGGCTGCTGGGATGTTGCCCGCGTCCCTGTGCAACACACCTGCGTGGATAGCAGGGGACGACCACAACACAAACAACACACATGACTGACTCACGAGAAAATACCGTGTGACATTATACCGAGTTGACTTTTGAGTCGACTCAAAAATGCAACACACCTGCGTGGATAGCAAAGGAGGGGACGACCACAATACAAACAACATACATAACTGACTCACGAGAAATCCCCTAAATTTGTCTCTAGAAAAACATTTACATTTCTTGTTGGGTAGTATGACAGGAAATTCGCCTCTAAAATTGACTCACAGGGCTCCGAGCAGGATACTTTTAAGGCGCCTCTGCACTGAACGCTCCCCACATGCGCCCGACGCCTGTTACCCGCCTAAACTAACCCCGCACACACCCCCTCGGCCCCCCTTCCTCTCAAACCCTCCCTCTTTCCCTCTCAACCCCTCACCCAGGTTGTTGTATGCCTCTGCATATGCGGGGTTGGCGAGAATGGCGGCTTGAATCATGTTGAGTGCTAGGTCCATCTTGCCCTGCGATTGGGGGTGGGTGATGTGTTGTGGGGGTGGGGGGGGAGGAAGGGGGAGTGGTGGGAAGATTGGGAATCATCAGCGGCTTGAATCATGTTGAGTGCTAGGTCCATCTTGCCCTGCGATTGGGGGTGGGTGATGTGTTGTGGGGGTGGGGGGGGAGGAAGGGGGAGTGGTGGGAAGATTGGGAATCATCAGCGGCTTGAATCATGTTGAGTGCTAGGTCCATCTTGCCCTGCGATTGGGGGTGGGTGATGTGTTGTGGGGGTGGGGGGGGAGGAAGGGGGAGTGGTGGGAAGATTGGGAATCATCAGCGGCTTGAATCATGTTGAGTGCTAGGTCCATCTTGCCCTGCGAGGGGGTGTGGGTGGTGTGTTGTGGGTGGGAATGGGGGTGGAGGAAGGGGGGGTGTGGGTGAGAGTGGGAACCATTACACCTTGAATCATGTTGAGCGCTAGGTCCATCTTGCCCTGAAAGGGAGGGAGGGGGGAGGCGGGAAGGGGGGGTGGGGTGTGGGGGAGGTTGGAAAACATAACGGCTTGAATAATGTAGAGTGCTAGATCCATCTTACCCTGGGTGCAAAGGGGGGAGGAGAGGGAGGTGTGGATGGGGGAGGTTGGGAGCCATAACGGCTTGAATAATGTAGAGTGCTAGATCCATCTTGGTCAAGGTGAGGAGGGATGGGTGGGAGAGGTTAAAGTGAGGCGGATTGAATGATGCTCAGCGGCTGGTCTAATTTGTGCTGAGGAAAGTGGAGGAGAGAGGAAGAGGGAAGATGGGAAAGAAGGAGTTGTCTCGAGGTCGAGAGGGAGAGGTGGGAAGGTGTGAAAGCGAGGTTTCAGAAACGGGGATACACCAACCCCGTGAGTTGATGGGATTGAAGGAGAGGGAGAGGTGGGAAGGTGTGAAAAGCATGGAACTAAGGGGGGGGGGGGCTTGAATCATGTTCAGAAAGTGGAGGGATGGGAGAGGTGTGCATGGGGGCACCCACGGCACGGCACGGCACGGCATCCCATCCCATCCTACTTGCTGTTGATGGCTGCAGCAGGTGCTGCTGTTGCTGCTAACGACCAATCACAAGCCACCCACCAGCACTCTCACCTGCACGGTGTAGACAACCCCCAGGTTGTTGAGCCCGCCTTGTCTAGGTCGCTTGCTGCCACCATGCACCTCACTCCTTGTTCTCCCGCCCTTGCTCGTGCTGCCACTGCTGCCACTGCTGCCACTGCTTCTGCTGCTTCTGCTGCTGCTGCTAACAACCACCCACCCACCCACCTGCACGGTGTAGACAACCCCCAGGTTGTTGAGCGACTGGGAGAAGGAGGGTTTGATGCGCAGCGCCTTCTGGTAGCACTCCACCGCCTTGTCTAGATTATCACGGTCCTTGTATATCACCCCCAGGTTGTTGCACGCCTCGGCGCATTGCGGATTAAAGTGTAGGGCCAACTCGTACATCACCACTGCCTGGAATCGGGTGGAGTGGGGAGTGGGGAGTGGGGAGTGGGGAGTGGGGAGTGGGGAGTGGGGAGTGGGGAGTGGGGAGTGGGGAGTGGGTATGCATGGAGGTTGAGCCTTCTGGTAGCACTCCACTCCACTCCACGGCCTTGTCCAGGTTGTCTCTGTCCTTGTATAACACCCCCAGGTTGTTGCACGCTTCGGCGCACTGTGGGTTGAAATGCAGCGCTAACTCGTACATCACCACTGCCTGGAGTGGGAGAGGCATTGGAAAGCACAGAGGGGAGGAACCAAGGGAAGAGCAGGAGGGAGAGGTTTGGATGGTATGAGCAGCGCCTCCTGGTAGCATACCACCGCCTTGTCCAGGTTGTCTCTGTCCTTGTATATCACCCCCAGAGTGAACGTGCAGGGCTAGCTCGTACATCACCACTGCCTGGAATAGGGCAGGTGGCGGACAGGGCAAAGGAGGGAGCCAGGGGGAAAGGGGTGTGTACGTACGTGGTAAAAGGGTTGTCTCTCAGGTTGAGTTGATCCTCGGGAGCCACTCTGAGTCATTGTAGACGACTATCAAGATGTTGCATGCCTCCGTGCACGGTGGATTGAATTTGCAGAGCTAAAGCGGACTCAAGTGTGTGTGTGTGTGTGTGTGTGTGTGTGTGTGTGTGTGTGTGTGTGTGTGTGTGTGTGTGTGTGTGTGTGTGTGTGTGTGTGTGTGTGTGTGTGTTCACGTCTCACTCACAACATCGAACTTCAGCATCTCACCATAAGCCAAGCCCAGGGTGTACCTGCGCTGTGTGTGCACATATGCAGACGTGTACATATGTGCATACATATTCATGTGTTCTCACTCACCATGTCAAACTTGAGCATCTCCCCGTAAGCCACCCCCAGGTTGTACATGGCATCGGCGTAGTGCGAGCAGTGCTCGCTCGTAGTGCGCCGCCACTCCAGCCAGATTTTACATGTATCCCATCCAAGTGCCCAGGCTGCACATGTGTATGTGCATGCTCATGTGAATGGCACATGTGGTCTCACTTACCATATCAAACTTGAGCATCTCCCCATAGGCCACCCCCAGGTTGTACATGGCATCGGCGTAGTGCGAGTTGAACAGCAGCGCCCGCTTGTAGTGCAGCCAGGCAGTACAGGGGTTGTACGTGTATGCAGACATGCACGCCTGTCTGTGCACATGAATGTGTGCATTCATGTGCATGTGGTCTCACCATGTCGAACTTGAGCATCTCGCCATAGGCCACCCCCAGGTTGTACATGGCATCGGCGTAGTGCGAGTTGAACAGCATCGCCCGCTTGTAGTGCGCCCAGGCAATACATGAGGGTTGTATGCGTGTGCAAACATGCAAATTCGTCTGCGCGCATATGCACATGCACGTGGTCTCACTCACTCACTCACTCACTCACTCACCATGTCGAACTTGAGCATCTCCCCGTAAGCCACCCCCAGGTTGTACATGGCATCGGCGTAATGAGAGTTGAACAGCAGCGCCCGCTTGTAGTGCGCCACGCCAGCTGATATGTCGCCCTCGAGCTTCACCTGTGGGAAGAACGGGGTGGGGGGGGAGGGAGAGGGGGTTTTGAGGGGAAATATGTGAACGAGATACCATGCTCGTAGTGCTGCTGCTACGTAAACCTGTTCACCTGTCAACGTCCACCTTCCCTCCCGCCGTACCTTGGTGCCCAGGTCGGTGAGGGCGAAGGCAATGTTGCTCCCTGTGGCTTTTGAGTTGACTCAAAAGTCTGCTTTTGAGTCGAATCAAATGCTACGTACACCTGTCCACATGTCAACGTCCACCTTCCCTCCCGGCCCCATACCTTGGTGCCCAGGTCGGTGAGAGCAATGGCAAGGTTGCTCCCTGTGGCTGTTCATGCCACTTGATCTTCCCTCCAAAATCCCTTCCTCCACCCCCCTCCCCCCCACCTACATCTCGGCCCTCCCTACCCACCATACCTTGGTTCCCAGGTCAGTGAGAGCAATAGCCATGTTGTTGCGCGCGATGGTGAAATTAGGCGCCACTGCCAAACACCTGGTTGCGGCAAGAAAGGGGAGGTGGTGTGGGGAAGAGAGGGGGGGGGGGAGCAAGGGGTTTGGTGAGGGTGAGAGCGATGGCCATGTTGTTGCGCGCAATGGTGAAATTAGGCGCCACCGCCAGACACCTGGTGGCGGCAGAGGTGGTGGGGGAAGAGAGTGTGGGGGGGGGGGAGGTGGGCACAACAAGGGGGTGGGGAACAGCAGAGGGGTCAGTGAGAGCAATGGCCATGTTGATGCGCGCGATGGTGAAGTTGGGCGCCACTGCCAGACACCTGGTTGCGCCAGGAAGGAATGGGTGGTCGTGGGAAGGAGGTGACTTTTTGAGTCGACTCAAAAGTTGCGCCAGGAAGGAATGGGTGGTCGTGGGAAGGAGGTGACTTTTTGAGTCGACTCAAAAGTTGCGCCAGGAAGGAATGGGTGGTCGTGGGAAGGGAGGAGGGGGAGGGAAGGCGGGAACAGCAGGGCGGTGGGGGACGGCAAAGGGTTCGGTGAGAGCAATGGCCATGCTGATGCGCGCAATGGTGAAGTTGGGAGCCATTGCGAGACACCTGATGGCGAGGAAAGAGGGGGGAAAGGGGGGAGGGAAGCAGGGGAAACGCAAAGAAGTAGGGGAATGGGAAAAGAGCACCAGGGAGGCAGCTCCTGCCATGATGGAGGTGGATGGGAGAATGCAGGGGGCGGCGGGGAGGACGTGGAGGGTTGAGGGAATGTGGATGGGTGGGGGAGTGTCAGGCGGTGATAGGAACGAGGGGGGGTGAATAGAATGTGGGGGTTTTATTGGAACGTGTGGGGGTGAACGGAACGTGAGGTTGAGAGAGTGGTATTACCACTCACTCTCCCCGTGTTGCAATGCGCCTCGGCATAGAGTGGCCTGAGCGCCTCCTCTGAACGTATCCCCTGGGATGCGAGTGGGTGGGGGGATGCGTGCAGAGGTATCCCCTGGGATGCGAGTGGGTGGGGGGATGCGTGCAGAGGTATCCCCTGGGATGCGCCTCCTCTGCACGCATCCCCTGGTATCCCCCCACCCACTTACCACTCGTAGCAAGCAATAGCTGAATGTAAATCGCCGCAGTTCTTGTAAATGGCACCCATGTTGCAATGTGCCTCCGCATAGAGCGGCCTGAGCGGCCCCATTGCATGCATGCCCGCCCACTGGTACACACGCCACGCCCCCCCAAACCAGGCACCCACCGCTCATAACAGGCGATAACAGAGTGTGAATCGCCGCAGTTCTTGTAGATCACGCCCATGTTGCACTGCGCCTCCGCATAGAGCGGCCTGAGCGGCCCCCTTGCATGCATGCATGCCCGCCCACTGGTACCCACGCCACACCCCCTTAGACACCACCCACTTACCGCTCATAACAGGCAACAGCCGAGTGTAAATGTGTTTTGAGACGTCTCAAAAAGCGCCCCCCTTACATTGCATGCATGCCCGCCCACTGGTACCCACGCCACGCCCCCTTAGACACCACCCACCCACCGCTCATAACAGGCGATAGCCGAGTGTAAATCGCCGCAGTTCTTATAGATCACGCCCATGTTGCAATGCGCCTCTGCATAGAGCGGCCTGAGCGCCACTGCCTTGTCATAGAACTGCAGAGCCGCCTCGTACTGCCCCATCTCTGAATACACCACCCCTAGGTTGTAGTATGCCGGCTGGATTGGGGGGATAGGGGTCAAGGACAGGGGACAAGGGATTGGGGGGATAGGGGTCAAGGACAGGGGACAAGGGATTGGGGGGATAGGGGTCAAGGACAGGGGACAAGGGATTGGGGGGATAGGGGTCAAGGACAGGGGACAAGGGATTGGGGGGATAGGGGTCAAGGACAGGGGACAAGGGATTGGGGGACAGGCGGGACGGGGGGGACAGGGCACCCCTCTGCATAGAGCGGCCTGAGCGCCACTGCCTTGTGGTAGAACTGAAGGGCCACCCCGTACTGCCCCGTCTTCGAATACACCACCCCTAGGTTGTAGTATGCCGGGGACACGGGTGGAGGGCGACATGTGTGGGCAGCAGGGGACAGGGGCGTGGGTGGGTGGGAGAATGCGGCAGTGTGAATGCATGCTTGCCTCGCACTGTGAATGCATGCTTGCCTCGCACTGTGAATGCATGCTTGCCTCGCACTGTGAATGCATGCTTGCCTCGCACTGTGAATGCATGCTTGCCTCGCACTGTGAATGCATGCTTGCCTCGCACTGTGAATGCATGCTTGCCTCGCACTGTGAATGCATGCTTGCCTCGCACTGTGAATGCATGCTTGCCTCGCACTGCCCCGTCTTCGAATACACCACCCCTAGGTTGCAGTACGCCGGCTGGATGGGGGGGAAGGGCGAGAGAAGGGTGGGGAGTGAGAGAACGAGTCTAGGGACAGGGGTGGGTGGGGGAGAATGCAGCGCCGTGAAAACAACCTCTCCTCACCGCTGTGAAAACAACCTCTCCTCACCGCTGTGAAAACAACCTCTCCTCACCGCGTATCTCTGGTTGGAAGCAATGGCCTAGTGGTGCTTGCTTGGCTATGCCCTGCTGAACGGAACCCCCCAGCTTGAGGCGCTAATTAAAACGCCTTACCATACACCACCCCATACCACCGCACTGAACTGCATCTCATTGCGTATCTCTGGTCAGTAAAAGCAGCAGCCTCATAATACTTGGCTATGCCCTCCTGCACGGACACCCCCAGCTTGAGGCGCTGATTGAAATGTCACACACCACATACCACCCCATACCACTGCATACCACCCACCGAAATCCACCACATACCACCCCGCTGAACCGCATCTTACCGCGTATCTCTGGTCGGCAGCAATGGCCTCGTAGTACTTGGCAATCCCCTCCTGCACGGACCCCCCAGCTTGAGGCGCGTGCCCAGGTCTGTGAGCACCACTGGAAGCTGCTACTGTGCCTCCTTACCACCATTTTCCACCGCATACCAATGCACTGAACCGCACACAACCGCACTGAACCGCATCTTACCGCATATCTCTGGTCGGCAGCAATAGCCTCATAATATTTCGCTATGCCCTCCTGCACGGAACCCCCCAGCTTGAGGCGCGTGCCCAGGTCTGTGAGCACCACTGCCAGCTGCTCCTGTGCCTCCTTGCACCCCGGATCCGCCTCTAGCGCCTTTCTGTACGCCTGGGGGAATGGGGGAAAGGGCAGTGGGGTATCGTGTCAGCAGCAGCAGGCTCCCTTGCAGCCTCTTAAGGCGCGTGCCCAGGTCTGTGAGCACCACCGCCAGCTGCTCCTGTGCCTCCTTGCACCCCGCATCCGCCTCTAGCGCCTTTCTGTACGCCTGAGGGGGGTAAATGGAGGTGGGGAAGAGGGAGGCGGGAAGTTAGGAGGAGGAGAAGGGGGGTTGAGACGAGGGGGGTTGTGGGGTGGTGGGAGAGGAAGGAACAGTGGGTGGGTGGGTGGGAGCATCACAAGCCACGTGTAGATAAGTGACGTGATTGAAGAAGTGTTTTGAGACGTCACAAAACACTTCTTCAGTCACGTGGGAGCATCACAAGCCACGTGTAGATAAGTGACGTGATTGAAGAAGTGTTTTGAGACGTCACAAAACACTTCTTCAGTCACGTGGGAGCATCACAAGCCACGTGTAGATAAGTGACGTGATTGAAGAAGTGTTTTGAGACGTCACAAAACACTTCTTCAATCACGTCACTTATCTCAAGCCACGTGTAGATAAGTGACGTGATTAAAGAAGTGTTTTGAGACGTGTCAAAACACTTCTTCAGTCACGTGGGAGCATCACAAGCCACGTGTAGATAAGTGACGTGATTGAAGAAGTGTTTTGAGACGTCACAAAACACTTCTTCAATCACGTGGGAGCATCACAAGCCACGTATAGATAAGTGACGTGATTGAAGAAGTGTTTTGAGACGTCACAAAACACTTCTTCAATCATGTGGGAGCATCACAAGCCACGTGTAGATAAGTGATTTTGGAGACGTCTCAAGCAGGCACGATCGCTGATCTACAGTGGGTGGGTGGGTGGGAGCATCACAAGCAGGCACGATCGCTTGCAGCTTGAGGCGTGTGCGTGCCCAGGTCTGCAAGCAGCAAAGCCGCCCTCGTTCCCACCTCTCCCCCACTCTCTCCTACCCTCCTCCTCTCCCCTTCCTCCTCTTCCTCCTCTCCCCCTTCTCACACCCTCCTCTCCCCCTCCTTTCCCTTCCCACCTCTCCCTCCGCTCCTCCTCTCCCCGTCCTTTCTCTCTCCACGACTCTCTCCTTCTCCCCCCTCACTCCCCTCTCCCCCCTCACTCCCCTCTCCCTCCTCACCCACTCACCTAAAACCTCTCCTCCCCTTCCCCTCCTCTCCGCCTCCTCTTCCCTCTTATCACCCTCCTCTCCCCTCCTCTCCCCTCCTCTCCTCCCTCCTTTTCCTCCTCACCCACTCAACTCAATCCCCTCTCCCCTCTCCCTCACATCCCCCCACTCACCTTGATCACCTCGTCCCCTCCTCCCGCTCCCCCCACTTACCTCAATCACAATTTCACTTCTCTCCCCTCACCTCTCCACGCTCCGCTTTCCCCTCCTCCCCCTCACGCACCTCTATCACCTCTCACAGCTGCCCCTCCCCCTCCCCCCATGCACCTCTATCACCTCTCCACTCCCCTCCCCATCTCTCCTCTCACCTCAACCACCACCCCAACTCCTCTCCCCCCACCTTTCCCCGCTCCTCTTTCCCCTCCCCCTCCCCCCACGCACCTCTATAGCCTCTAGCAAGTGCCCCTCCTCTTTGTACAGCACTCCGCACTGCGTCAACGCTACAGCGTGTGTCGGATTCAGCTGTAACGCGGACACGTACGCCTCAAACGCCGCGCTAAGCTTCCCCTGCGCCTGCAAACACTGCCCCTTCCCCACTAGCGCCTCCGCCGTCGCGGCGGCCGCGGCCCCGCCCGCCCCTCCCCCGCCCGCTCCCGCTCCCCCTTCCCCCGCGCTCGCGGCCCCTCCTAATGTCCCCGCTCCGCTGCCCGTTCCATTTCCCCTCGTCATAGTCACAGCTGCTCCTATTCTCTCCGCTATAATCGCCTCGTATATCGCGAGCGCTTCGTTAACTTTCCCCCGAGACCTAAGCATAGCCGCATACCCTAACGGATCCTTCACGGCACTAAGCCGTCCCGCCGCCGCGGCTGCGGCTGCGGCGGCGGCGGCGGCGGACGCGGCGGTGGCGGGGGCGGCGATGGCCGCAGAAGGGATTAAACCGCCTGCGCCGTTAGCGGCGGCGGCGGAAACGGCACCTGCGACGGGGAGCGACGCGGAAACTGGTTGCGGGTATGTCGCTGCTGCAGCGGCGGCGGCAGCGGCGGCTGCGGCGGCGGCGGCGGCGGCAGCAGGGTCGAAGTGAGACGAGACAAAACCGTTGCTCGGGAAACCGGGATGTGTGGGCATGACAGGGGCTTGCATGGGAATTAAAGCCTGTCCAGATGCGGTCGAAGCGCTAGAGCCTCCTAACGACGCAAATAGTGGGTTACCTAAAGCGCTGTGATTCAACCCTTGCGCGCCGCCGCTGATGTGGAGGTTGCTTATTGGATGATGAGCGCCGGGAGGTAGAAACGGAATTAACGCCGCGGCGTTACCAGCGTAAGGGGATGGGAACGGCAAGTGACCGTGCGATAGGGAGATGGACGGTTGAGATGCACCGACAGGCGAGAGTCCAGGGATTCCTGCGATTGACTTTAACGAGGCGAGTAAGTGATTGTGCTGCACGGACGCTGCAGCAGGTGATAGTAACGCGGGGTGATTATGAAGAGAACCCGCTGAAGGGAGCAACATCCATCCCCCAGCCGCCGCCGCCGCCGCAGCGGCAGCAGCCGCAGCAGCAACCGCCGCAGCCGCTGCTTGACTCCCGTCGTGCTGCTCCAGAGCGGCTGCTTCCGCACCCAAACCGCCGTTTCCTACGCCAGAAATTGCGCCGGGAATCGCGGCGCGAACCGCGGCACCTCCAGACGAAGCAGCCGCACCGCAGCCACTGCCGCCGCCACCGCCAACGTGCGGATCAGCAAGCGGCAAGCCCGGACTCATGATCCGGGAAACACGCCAGCTTGTCCGTCAGAGTGGTCGCGATCGATTTGAGTTTCGCATGGCTAGAACGACGTGGCAACTCCTGAGAGAAACGAAAGGCGGCTGTCGAGGTGAGTAACTGCTTCGCAAATCTACACACGAAAGCTGTTTGGACTACGCTGGCGTGAAGCGTCAGAAACGACTACGTTCCGGCGAATTTGTTGGGACTGACTGCTTCTCTAGGCGGAACACATACTCAAGCTAGACTGAACCCTAGAGTCCGAGGGGAAGGAGTGCGATGAGTTGTCGGGAGCTCCTTTGATCATCCATTGTCGGAGAACGATGCAGTCTAAAAGGGTTCAACGGCTAAGCTGTTCAACGGAACTGTTCTAGGACAAATTCGCTCGAGAAAAAAGGAAGGGGGGTGGTGGGGGAGGGGGGGGGAGGGAGGAATCGCGACGGCCTGAACACTAAGAAGTAACAAGATGCTTTTACTGTAAGAAGACACCAAAACGAGGACGGCTCGAATACGGCAACCTACTAACCAGAAACGGCAAGGAGGGAAGCTGAGAACCGATCACTCAAATCTCGGCTACTAGAACACGCTCTGCACGAGTGAGTGAGGTCGCGTGAAGTGTCTCGTGGTGCACTGAAAAAACGGCATAAGCAGACAGAAGCGGGGACCGCAGAGGGAGGATGCTGAAGCTGGCACGGATGCAAGCAAGTGGTACAGGGGACAGACGGGGGAAGGGCGGCCATGGAAGCGGTGGAGAAGGTGGTGGTCGTGGGGGAGGAGATTTCGAGGGTGTTGTTGCGCGAAAACGAGTATGCGCGAAATAGTTTGACGAAAGACTTATAAACGCAAAAATGTGAGTTACTTTTCATTGGCGACTCGTGTCATCAGGTTACTGAGTCGGCAGTTGTCGCGACTCCACTGTTTGGGGGGTTTCAACCTGATCCAGGCGGAGATGGACGGTACCGATAGCTTGTCCTGCCCAATCGAGGGGTAGCATGCGGCACTGCTTTCCCGTCTCGAAGTTTTTGGAATAAGCAGCGGGACGGGAGGCGCAGAGTGTCTGGTAGGTTCCGAAGCGGAAATCGACGGCTCTAAAGCTCCTCACGGAAATCCTTACATTGAGCTGTTGTAGTTGTGGTGCCCCCAAACCTGGGAGAACCAGGAGTTCATGCGGGCAGATTTTAGGTTTGAAAGTAACCAAATGTCGAGACAAAACAGCATGGACGACTCGTCAGTTTTGGTGGCAATATGTGATTGGCTGCAAACTTTTCACTGCAGACCAGTGTATGACCAACCCGCCTTCAAAATCTCGATGTCTTCGTTAGACGACGTGTTACAACCTTGTTTGAACAATGCCTCTTAAATGTTGAATGAAACGCAACGCAATCTAATAACTGTGTGCAGTAGAGAGTACTGGCAGCATACAGAAATAAGATATTCTCCCCATAATTTTTTTCCCAGCACCACGTGAATCTACACCGCAGGAAAAGGAAGAACTAGCCCCACATTGTGGCTTGCACTGCATTGAGTTCTGCGCTAGACTGCGGGCCAGAGGAGGAAGAGCCCCACATCGTGGCTTGGAACTGGCGCACTCAGCTCCCCTGAGATGACCGAGTCCATAGTTGCCTTCTGCAGTGTGGGCGATGCAGCACGGGGTGGGGACAAATGATAGTTGACACGTGTGTGGGGGTTGTGGGGGGAGGGGAAGGGGGAAGGGGGAAGGGGGAAGGGGAGGGGGAAAGGGGAGGGAATTGGGGGTGTGGGGGTATTCAGCTCCCCTGGAATGACCGAGTCCATAGTTGCCTTCTGCAGTGTGGGAGATGCAACACAGGATGGGATGGAGAGAAATGACTCTGGGTGTGGGTGTGGGTGTGGGTGTGCGTGTGTGTGTGTGTGTGTGTGTGTGTGTGTGTGAGTGAGTGAGTGTGAGTGTGCGTGCGTGGGTGCGTGCGTGAGTGAAAGTGTTCGTGCGTGTGTGAGTTAGTGTAAAAGTGTGTGTGCGCGTGAGTGAGCGTGTGTGTGTGAGCTGTGCACACGCTCATGTGCTCAGCTACACTGAAACGACATAGTCCATAGTTGCCTTCTGCAGTGTGGTAGATGCATCATGGGATGTAACTTGTAAGTCTGCATGTATGTGTGTGAGTATATGTGTGTGTGAGTGTATGTGGGTGTGTGCACTTGCGCATCTGCTTGCACACATGTATGTGTATATGTGTGCATGTACGTGTGTGTGTGTGCGAGAGAATGAGCGAGTGTGTATGTCTTTGTGTGCATGTGTTTGTGTGAGCGCAAGCACGACTCCATGCGTGCATGAGCAAGTGTGTATGCGAATGCAAGTACCCACCCTCACCAAGTGCAGTTATGCACAGAAGCGCAAGAGTGTGGATGGACAAGGGAGGGAAACAGGCAGGGAAGGTCTTCCAGAGAGACTTGCTATGGAGACATCCATCTTCCTAAGATCTCATGCGTACATCAGCTGCACCAGATTCTTTAGTCGACCTAGAACCAATCCCTTTATCAAGTCACGTACCTTCCACAGGTCTCGTGCATGCATCCACTGCACTGGAGTTTGTAGTCAACCGAAAGCCACACCTTTTATCAAGCCACGTACCTTCCACAGGTCTCGTGCATACATCCGCTGCACAGGATTCAGCCCCATGGCTTTCCATCGGGCAGTGATCTTCAAGCTGATTGGGCTGCGATTCACCAGAGCTACCACCAGCCGACCCTCCGACAGAGGCCCGGACCAAACCTGCAGGTTCCAAGACCAAACCAGGACGCATGGGGGAAGGGCAGTAATATGAACCGTGATGCTGTGAGTGGCTACAACAGCTGCTGGTTGTTTACTTGGTGCCTCAAATGGAAGCACCTGCTAACTAGGGAGGCACCTGACCGCTTCTGATGGGCCATACCCATCCGAGCCCACATACTTGCTGCAGGGGACTTGTTCTGATCTGATTTCATTCGCTTTAATTTGATTTGCTTTAACCTAGTCCGATGTGATACGCTCGGATCTGATTTACTAACCTCCATGAAAGAATCTTCAGAGACTTGCACCTTCCTTGCCTGAACGCCCAGTGGGTCTGCACCAATCAGAGCATGAGACGTGTGAGCAAGTACAGGAGTTGGTGAAACACCATCGCTGAGCTTATGATGGGGTACCATTGGCAGGCCCGCTAAGTTGCATGACATCAGCAGGCAGGACATAAGTTGCATGAATTGAGTGACGCAGTAGCATGCAAAAGCAGCGGCAAGAGAACATACCCTGGTTGAGAGCAATAACCTCTTCATTTCCCAGAATGGCCAACGTCTTATTTGATACAACCGAGAGATCGCAGCCAATCAGGAGTGGTGCCTAGTGGGAGGGTGTGAGGTTTGAATAGAGGAATAAATTCAAACTAGATTCTCTGCGCATGTCAACTGTCGGAACTGGAGACCAGAAATGAAAAAGAAGCGCACATGCAAGATCTGGGAGGTGACTGTTGGGTCGACTGTAAGATGACTGGTGAATCGATTATGTATGTATGTATGTATGTATGTTTGTATGTATGTATGTATGTATGTATGTATGTATGTATGTATGTATGTATGTATGTATGTATGTATGTATGTATGTATGTATGTATGTATGTATGTATGTATGTATGTATGTATGTATGTATGTATGTATGAATGTATGAATGTATGTATGTATGTATGTATGTATGTATGTATGTATGTATGTATGTATGTATGTATGTATGTATGTATGTATGTATGTATGTATGTATGTATGTATGTATGTATGTATGTATGTATGTATGTATGTATGTATGTATGTATGTATGCATGGATGCATGCATACATGCGTGCAGGCAAATATACATGTCTACATATATACACACATATACATACATACATGCATACATATACATACATATACATATATATACATATATATACAAAAACGAAGAAACGTTGATCACCTTCATGATGGCCCAGAGGCTGAAGTGCACACGATACTCCGAATCCCTCATGCCGCCATTCCCCACCTGCAGCATGTCCGGGTCTGTCAAGGGTG